GGTGTCAGGCTAGTCGATCGAATTCGATCGAGTAGCCTGACGCTACTGGCCCAAGGGGATTCTGCGACCTCGGATGGATAGCATGTTCTGCCCACCCGGAGCCGGTCACCTAAATCTAGTCTTACTCTTATACGGGGTGCCCACTACAACTGGATCGGGCTGATCGCCCGACTCAATCGCTTGAAACTGAAAACTAACAAGTTTGTTTTTGAGGAGACCGAGTCGGGCGATCAGCTGATCCCATCCGTAGTGGGCACTACGTATTAGGCAGTGTAAACACGGCCTTATTTCATACACGCTGTTCATCTTAACCTGTACTCACCCAAACACCCCCTTCCCCTCCCCACATGCATAACCACACGCGAGAGCATGCGCGCGTGCGCGCGCACGCACGCACGCACACACACACACACACACACACACACACACACACACACACACACACACACACACACACACACACATACATACTCACATGTGCATGCACAAACATGTTTTCAAAATAAAATTACCCGATATCACGAAAATCAAGCGCGTTCGAAGGGGCGGCGATCATCTTTTTTTCCCCCTTCTTTGTCTTTGTACTTCCTGATTTTGAGCCAAAATACCTGAAACTGACCCTGAATTTAGCTGATATGGGAAATTTGAGGTAGGCAGGCCTGATGTTGGTATGAAGATGCTATTGATGAGCTGGGATTTCACTTCGGTTGGGATGTTCTTACCAATGGCTGGAAAGACAGTTGAAACGAGGCTCACAATTTTGGCCTTCTTTACTGACCATGCTCAGACTCAAGAGTTGTTTTCCCAATGCGAGCTGTCACGATACGGGCTGTTCTTTTTTAAAAACAACAATATACAATTTAGACGAGGCGATATTCATGCAATACCAATTTGAACACCACTTTGCAAAACCGTCGCCAAATGTCCAGAAAAAATACATGCAATCTAAACTGGAAGATAGTTCATAAAAATAAAGAGAATAAATAGGTGCTGGGGTGCTGGAAGATAGTTCATAAAAATAAAAGAGAATAAAGAGGGGGTGGGTGAAAAAAATCTTGCTAAGTTGAAATTAAATCTTTAACTTTACTGGTATGTGTGTGTGTGTGTGTGTGTGTGTGTGT